GCATGTAGCTGGATCTCGATGCTGCTGTCGTCCTGGGTTTGGCGTTTGTGGGCTCTTAGGAAATTGTGAAACACTATCTTGATTRTCACCAGTGTYTCCTTTTAGCATCTKTTGAATTCGTTGGCACAATGTATTAAAYTGTGCTTCTTGTTGCCGTTTTAGTTCGTYGAACTTTTCTTGAAAATCATGTTGGRCTCCCTGTGTCACGGCGGCCATGTTTTTMTCCTGATCTCTCTCGATCGACAATGTTCTCATGCTTGCTGGTTTCCTTTTGCTTGTTTCCAGTAATCTGAACGCTTCTAACTCACAAGCCGATGAAAGTGCTTCATCTAGGCTCCGTGGTTTGTCTCGTCTCAGCCTCATTCGGTCGTCACGATCGTTGATAGMGTCGATAAAGTGTTGTACACAAAATCGCTCTTGTGCCGGTGGGGGGAGATCTTGGTAGGCCAAACTACAAGCATCCCGAATATCAGCTGCTAAACTTCTAAGGCTTTCTCCCTCCAGTTGTCGTCGATTAAGCAATCGGGCTTGATGTAATTCTTGTTGTGTCTCCATACCGTAACAAGATTCGAGTCGAGCAACCAATTTTGTCATAACTTCGACAGTCCTCGTCTGACATGCCATGTAGATTCTTTTGAGCATCTCCACGCAAAGCTGCCGATAAAAATACAACTGACTCTTCAGAACTCCAGTCGTTATCTACTGCACATCTATTGAAATGCCTCAGATAATCTCTTAGAGAATAATTTCCATTGTAGTCGTCAGGTAATTTCACTGGTTTCCTGAACTTCGGAGTTGACCTTGCTTCGCACGATGTTTGATCGGCTCTAAACGGGTTTTTAGATGCCATTCTTGGTGTGTTYAAAAGGCTATTGACAAATTCTTCTCCTGGTGATCGAAATCCAGAAGTCATTTTGTTCTGTGACGAGTTATAGTCGCCAATCGGACTATTATGCAAGTTAACTCCATTTCGTCTTTGAATAACATTTTAACCGCTGCCACCAGTGTAATAACGTGAAGGGGTCATGAAGTTAACGGAATAGACACAAATAGAAAACCTTTACTTCGTTCTTGATCTTACATGTGATACATCTCTGAACGCACGTTTCTGTACAACATAGGACCCCTCCGGGGGTGGGGTGAGTAACAACATTACAATATGTCCTTGAGCCACAAACACTTAGMAGTATCGCCATCTTTTTCGCGTCTTCCTCGATTTCGTTTGCTAGGAAGTACTGCTCCAGACGCTCGAGGGTGCGTCCATGGTTCGTCGTCCTTATATTCCAAGGGCGGATCCAGCCAGAAATTTAGGGGGGCTGTGATCTAAGAGAGGCTTTGAATAACAGGGGTAGGTAGAATTGATTTTTCACGTTTTTTACTGGACTTCGTTTTTAGCTTCAATAATTACACGATTAAGTTTTCAAGGTCAATATATTCTTTACCTTACTTGTACAACGGTCATTCTAAGTCTCTCTAAAATCTCATTTATAATAAGAGAAGCTTTCTTGGCTGCTTTCTTGCAAAACGTTCAACGGCCTCATTTAAGTCAACTGGAATGTTTCTATGTATGTACAGCATAGTGAGCCCGTTAAGCCTGTCCTCTTTCATGGTTGTTCTCAGGAAGGGCTTAATTCGCCTTAAAGCAGAAAATGTCCTCTCGGYTTCACAACTTGTGACAGGAATTGTTGCAAGTATTTGCAACAATGTAAATGCATTGGGAAAAAGCCTTTTGTCGCAGTTATTTAGAGCACTGATTGGGCTATCGGGTAGATCATTTGACTGATTGCAGCGACTAAATTTCATTTTCCAACAATGAAACTCTGTTGTTAAGGTGAGTGGCGACGGCAGGTCATTCTGATAGAGTGTGGCAAGCTCATTGGCTCTGACTAGCCAGTCGTCTTTTCGGAAGATGACACTCGGGACTAGACAAAGCCCAAGAGTTGYCACCTTTGCATGCGTTAGCAGASAACCTATCCTTCAGTTCCTGTATTAGATGATCCAAAAACGGAATCGTCACTGCTCTTCTATAATAGACATCTGGCTGTTCGGCTTCAACATTATCACGATGTTTTTGTCTCTTGCATCTGCGTGGAATTGAAGGCATTTCTGTACCTGCCTCTTCTGCTACATCCATTGTCATTTGAAACCAAACTTGGTGGCATTCATTAATATCCTCCCGAACTTCTTCCAATGACTCTTGCACATCTTGAATCATTTCTACTCTCTCAACAATGTCTAGGGATCGTTGCTGAAGTAGCACAGTTAAACCCTTTATGTAGCTAAGCACATGGAAGACCACAACCAGCGTTACTTGAAAAGAGAACCTTTCTACAGCAGCAAGCAAACCATTTGCATCAGTTGTTGTGTCTTTGTTCCAAGACCCTGAATCCTCACGGTTGGCGATGTCATGCAAAGCTTGAACTATGGYAGGATATAGCTCCATAAATACTGCTAGAGCGTCATGCCTTTCAACCCATCTGGTTCTGCAAAGTCCTTTGACCCGTTTCGTCTTAGAATCAGAATATTCAGATTCAATTACTTCATTTAATTTGTCTTGCCTCTTGCCATGCTCAAAAAATTTGTATACTTCGCTAACGCTGCCCATCATGTTACGTACAAGAGCTTCAGAACATGAGCTTGCAACAGCCAGATTTAGTATGTGACTGCAGCAGTGGACGTACGTTGCCAATGGATACTTCTCAAGTATTATACTGCTAGCGCATTTCCTCACTCCTGCCATAGATCCACTCCCATCGTATCCTTGTCCACGTAGATKTGAGCAGTCAAGACCCAAATGTGCTAGCTTATCAAGGATGCTTGATGCTATAGCATTACCGGTCATTTCACGGTCTTGCTCTTTATTTACAACATAGGTATTATCTTCTTTCTGGACGTACCTTAGAACAAACGTTATTTGTTCGATAGAAGCGGCATCTTGTACTTCATCGGAAATGACAGAAAAAACTTAGCTTYGTGTACTTCTTGCACAATCGTCTCTGTGATCATGTCTCCTAGAATATCAATGATTTCGTTCTGCGTTGTTTTGRAGCGATAGGACGCGTTTTTATTACAACTCGCTATATGCTCAGACAAAACAGTATCCCCGGAATCACAGCGAAATCTTTTAGGTGTTTGCTGTCATCTCTGTGTCCTCTGATAGCAATTCCTTGCCGACCACAAACTTCTACAGTTGCCATAATCGACTTCAGAACTTTTCTATTTTTCTCTGTTTGTGCAGAATGTGAGGCGCTCAGTTGTTTTGCAATGCTCTTGCGCTTCCTAGACATGAGCTCCAGGAAATTCACCATCATAGAGA